ACAGCGGTTGGCAGACCCTCTGCAGCCTCCTCTTCTTCGCTCTCGGAGAGGGTCTTCAGGGAGAAAACGATCATGTCGCTAAGTTCAAAATCATCGACCTCAGGCGAGATAGTGAAAGGTCCCTGTAGTAACGGCACCGCAGGCGCACTGTGTGGGCGAGCGAAGACCTGAACTGTGTCACCCTGCGCCCGCTCCTCCGCGAGAGGCTCCTCGTATAAGATGTCCGATAGCCATGAGACCTGCTTCTCTGATGTTTTCAACTCGTCTTTGGGCGATGTCTCGTCTTCTGAGAGCTCGGCATAGTTGATGTTGATGGACGAGGTAAGGGTTTGGAGGAATGTGTGGCTGCCGGGCGACTCGACCAACTGCCACTTGCTCGGTAGCAGAGGACAGAGCGCGTATACGTCTCCAAGTACTGTCGCGATCCACAATGTCATCGGCGCCCAGCCATGGACACCTTCTTGGTCTGGGAAGTCGCCAAAGCATGCCGATGCAACTTCCAGCTCGACGGAGTCGGGAGAGAAGCCTTTGGAGGCCCCGAATTTGGAGGCGCTCAGATCGTCCTGGTCGCTGGTAGCATTTGCGAGCTTGGGCAGATCGATGGAGAGCGACGGCTCACTGAAGGTAGACCTGTCGGCGCGGTTGATCTCCCACAGCCGAACTACGCCCGCCTTTGTGATAGTGACTAGGCAGCGTCCGTGATAGCCCAATGGATGCCATAGTGTTGTTGCGACGGGTGACTCTTCGAGAACGTGTACGGTCGGTCCCAACTGGAAGGCCTTTGGCTTCAACGGGCCGTCGTCCTCTCCAGCTCCGAGCAGCGACGAGTCGGGAAGGTGTATTACGTGTACCGTATGCGAGGTAGAGACGGCGAGGTAGTCTTCTTCGGGCGAAATGACGAGACGCGTGATCGGGAGTGGTATCGAGACTCGGAGTGTTCGGTATGCGGGCTGTTGCTCTTCCTTGAGGTTGACCAAATCTGCCCATCGTATCTCGTTCCCAACAGCGACGAAGATCTCAGATCCCCTCGTTGCGATTGTCTTTCGCGGTCCCGGTTCCTGCCTCTTTGCTGCGACTCCATTCCCGTTTGTCTGCTTCGGCGCAAACAGATGATAGCCTGGGTTCGGTCGGCTGAGCCAGTCTGGCGTATAACCAAGTACTTTTGGCATAACGGCGAGCTCCCTCGGGTAATATTGAGAGAGTTAGGAGTGGGTATGGAATAGCTGCGTGGATTGCAGAGGTAGGAGTGTGGACAAACAAAAGTTCCAGCCGCGCGATACAGCGCCAAGACCGACGCGTCTCGAGAGCTCCGAGCTCGACTTTCCACTCCCGATCCTTACACTCACTCCAAAATCACACTCGATCTTCTCTCGCTCCCCCGGGCCACGGTCGCTTCCTACAAATCTAGCCGACATCAAAGTTGAGGGCGCGCATCATGCCGGCGCTTCGCAGTACCATTGACCGCCTCGACAAGCCGAGTTCATATGCGACAGCAAAGGTATGGGAGGCTACAACACATCGCATTGGTACTCAAATACTGACTCTTTTCTAGAAGCGCAGACGCGACCGCAACGGACGTGACGATGACCGCGGCCGCTCTCCCTCGCCCGAAGACAAGCTCAAAGACGCAACAACCCTCTACGTCGGCAACCTTTCTTTCTACACCACCGAAGAGCAAATTCACGAGTTGTTCAGCAAATGCGGCGAGATCAAGCGCTTAGTCATGGGCCTGGACCGATTCCAGAAGACACCATGCGGATTCTGCTTCGTCGAATACTACACACACCAGGATGCGCTGGACTGCATGAAGTACATTGGCGGTACCAAGCTCGACGAGCGTGTCATTAGGACGGATCTGGACGAGGGTTTCGCCGAGGGAAGGCAGTACGGACGCGGAAAGAGCGGTGGGCAGGTCCGCGACGAGTACAGAGCCGAGTATGATCCTGGTAGGGGCGGATACGGCAGAGCTGTGGACGAATACCACGAAGCGCAGTAAGATGACGATGGACTACTATCTCTCGGATCACCAGGACGTTAATCACGAGAAAAAAGACCTAGGCCATATTGATCAGGAGAACCTCGCGCCGCCGCGCCATCCCACGTTGGCAAGCACGACTACGCTGAAACTGAGGACAATGAAGGGCACTTCAGTTACATGGGGAAGCTCGCCCAACCCAAACTCAGCTGGGTGTCCAAACACTGCAAAGAAGGCGTCTGGCGTCTATCATTCGGCATTGTTCATTAGTGCTTTAGTTATAAGCACATGCTCATAGGGGGCAAAGATACCAAATTAGATACCTTCCCAAAACTCAGTACCATCTTCCAAACACCCTCTCTTATGCTATACAAGAATGCCACCCAGCCATGCGCCTGTAAATGTCTAACATTTTCTGTCACTCATCTAGTCCGGTCCGCAAGTTCAAACTGCTGTCGCCTTTCCACGGCCTTTACAACCTCTCCCAACCACCAGACATGTATCCGTGGGTCATCCGTCAGTTCAGGATGGAAACTGCACCCAAACACATTGCCCTGTCGTACCGCTATTATATCCTCCGCACCCGGATGGTCATGTACCTGATTCTCCTGCAAAGGTTTCGCATTGGTCGACAGCGTAGCCATCACCTCAACTTCGCTTTCCAACTCCTTCCTCGCCAAGTCATCCACTGGTGTCTTACTCGGCGCAACAATTGTATCGTCCCTCTCGCTCTCCCCTTCTTGTATGCCCACGGCCTTCTTACTCGGCAACAGCTTCTCTACAACAGGCGCGCGGATGAAGACGCATCGGTATGGATCGGTCTTGTGCGTTTCGCTCGTCGATTCCAGGAAGGGCAGCTGGAGGTTTGCCTGGAAACTCTCGGTCTGTCGCCCGAAATGATTCCTGTTCACTCGCACATCTAGACCTCCAATCAGGTCCTGGCCTCCCTTCTTCGTTCTATTGGCACTCTCTGCTAGTAGAATCAGGCCGGCGCATGTACCCCACGTTGGCTTTCGCTGCACCTTGACGAAGTCGCGGAGAGGCTCGAGGAGGGCGCTTCGTGCGGCTACGAGTGACATAGTTGTGCTTTCACCTCCGGGGATGATGAGGCCGTCGCATTGTGCGAGCTGGGCTGGTGTGCGGACCTCAATGAAGTGGAAGGTTTGCGACGAGGGGATGTTCGAGGATGCTGCGCGGAGGAGTTGGATGTGTTCGCTGAAAGCGCCTTGGAGGGCAAGCACGCCGACCGTGATGTCCTGGGTACCGTTCTTTACCGTCATCTTAAATCTTGATCAAACCCCAGAAACTCCGTGACAGCAAGGAAAAAAGGAATTGAAGCGTCAAGGAAATGTACAGTCATGCAACGGAAAGCGACGGCAAAGGCGAAATCTTTATCGATAAGCCCAGCCCCCACTAAAACGCGGTAATCGCCCGCGCGAGCACATGTCACCTCACACATGCATTTGGTTCAGCCCTATTGATCCGCTTACCCCGAGTCGATCTACCTCTCCATCATCGACACTTCGGACCCCCATCGATGCCGTGAACGATCATGACATGTAGATCCCCACGCGTTCTACACATCACGTCAAGAAAGGTCGTACCTGCACTAAGGCTTCCAAGGCTCATATAAGGCCAGAATCCTCCTAGTAGTCTAGTCTCACTACTTTAGCCGATAACGCAATCCGGCCCAGTATCAGTCTAGAAACAGTGGATGAAGGCGCTATGATCGACAAACAGGATGAAGAGCCAACGGGACACGGTCTCACGTGCTGGCTGCTGGATACGCGATCACTATGGCCCGGGGAAAAGATCACAGATTCAGAATCAGTACGTCGTCGCTCACACACCTGCCTGCCTGGAACATCAACTAACCACGTGTAGGCGCGAGAGGCGCTCTCCCTCGTCACCCCCGAGGAACAAGACCTTATAAAACGCAAATACCACATAGCAGACGCGCGAATGAGCCTAGGCTCCGCCCTCCTCAAACGCCTTTTCGTCCACAAAACTCTCGGCATGCCATGGAAAGACATCCGCTTTGGCCGCAAACGCGATCCTAAACACGGAAAGCCTATCGCCTTGCTAATACCACCGCAACATGGCCCCGCTCCCATTGAGTTCAACGTCAGTCATCAGGCCGGTCTCGTCGCACTCGTGGGCTGTGCAACCAATGAACTTGACGCAGAAGTTGGCGTGGATATCGTCTGCGTCAACGAGCGAAACGACTACCGTGTTGTGGACGAGGAAGGCTTTGATGGCTGGGTAGACATGTACGCTGAGCTCTTTAGCGGCGAAGAAGTCTTCGATATCAAGTATAACGTCGACCCATTCCCCCTTCTCGACGGCACAATGGTCACGCATGAGATACTGGGTCGACATGACCGCTGTTGTAGACGGAATGAGCATCTCAATGTTACACTGCCGAGTGGAGAAAAGAGGGAGCTGGATTCAGATTTACTTATTGACGCGAAACTACGACGGTTTTACACGTTCTGGTGTTTCAAAGAGGCGTACATCAAACTCGACGGCGAGGCATTGCTCGCAGAGTGGATACCGCAATTGGAGTTCAAGCACGTGCGTGCGCCGAGGCCGGGAACACCAGCGCGGTGTAGTACGCATGGGACTTGGGGTGAGAGAGCCAGTGACGCGGAGGTCTGGTTCTCGATGAAGAGTGATGGGAAGGGGCCTGCGGGTGTGCGAGGTTTGAAGAAGGGCGAGTGTGGCAGGTTAGAGGACACAAGAGTGGAAATTCAGGCTTTTGAGGAAGACTACATGATTGGGGTTGCGGCGAGGGAGAAGAGAGATTCGGCGGTTGATGGGAGTAGGAAGAAGCTGCCGGATGTTTTGACGCATTTTAGGGGGTTGCATTTGGAGGAGGATGTTATGAGCATTGCGAGGAGTGCTTGATACTTTACTTCTGATGAGAGCACCCATAGCAGGCAACTCCCTTAGCCGCTGCAAAGTGGCAAAAGCAGATTACATGCCAAAGTATTCTTCAGAACCAGATTTTCTGCGATGATAGCCCCTAGCCCCCATCTTTTGGTCGTTTCTCGCCGAATAGTTCTCCAAAGTGGTAACTTTCTTTCTTGCGGTTACGACGGTCGTGGTTCGGAAGCGGCTTGGGTGTTTTTCTATGTTCAGACTCGCCATCCGGCAATGCTAGATCCGCGGCAGGTTCACTGTACTGTGGTCAGCAATGATTCAAGATTATCGATTGTACAATATACCCATGTACAGAAGGTCGAGGATTTCTGATAACGTAGGGTGCCAGTGCAGATAGTGTTGTCTCGTCGGATGTCTCGGGTGAGATCAAAAATCGCATCATGTCGTCGTGAGTCGCTGCGGCTCGTGCTAAGGCCGACGCTGCTTCGCCATCTTGGGGTACCTGTAACTGTCTGGAACGAATGCATTCGATGCAGAACGAACCCGGGTCACGCTCCCAAATCACATCCAAAACGTCTTCAGCGGATGGTCGATTACTGGGGGAATGGTTCAGCATGTGACATGTCAAGTAAGTGACGGCGCTTGGCCATTCCTCTGGGTAGATGCTGTCCGCTATATGTTCGATAACCTCAATGATGTTGTCCGCGTAGCGATACATGTCCAGCTTCATAGGCTGTAGTCCCAGTCCGCATAAAATCTCGAAGTAGACACACCCGAGGGAGAACACGTCTGATTTCCGACTACGAGGTTCACAATTATGTACCTCCGGGGCCGCATACTTGCGGGTGATGGACTCGGGGTGGCCTGTAGTGTCACTCCGCGTACCTGTACTGTAGTCGAGAGAGGATCCAAAGTCCGTGTATATGAAAGAGCCCTTGTGTACCAGAATGTTGTGAGGTTTGATGTCTTTGTGTCGTACCTTCTGGGCATGCATGAAATGCAATCCGCTAGCGAGGCACCCGAAAGAATAGTCCAAGGTGTCCACCTCACTCTGTGTAAGAAGACCCTCATGAGCATCCTCAAGGAATTTGTCCAGCGAACCACCATCAGCGACAGGTGTCAGCAAAATGCCTACTTCACGTTTCTCTACGTAAGTGGCAAAGATCCGGGTGATATGACGATGTGGAGCTAGCCGTCGGATGACTTTGATCTCGTTGTCAAATATTCGCCTCCTCTCAGTAGCAGAACCGCGGATTCCGAAGACCTTGCGAGCGAAAACCCTGCCGGTATGTCGGTCCACGACCTCCTCCACATTGGCGCAACCACCCTGGCCTAAATTGCGGAGTAATTTAAGGGGTAGCTCGTCGTCAGGCTCGAGAAGGTAATGCTGACCCTCTTCGATATGTATAGTTCGTTTGGGGCCGCTGTCGCCGTTCATCGCCGCCGGAAATTATACGCGCGTGACGCCGCGCAGTCGCTGGCTGAAGGATGTTAGGCGTATAGCGCGACTAAAAAAGGTCAGCCTGCTCGCTAGACGGATGTATAGTCAGATGTCAATGTTCTCAGAAGTCGCCGCGATGTAAGGGGCTCCGCTGGCAATACTGACGGGTGCGAGAGGCTAACATGGATGCACTAAGTCGAGATGGTGTCGTGTAGATGAAGTCGGAAACCGCAGCAACCTTTGTACTGTGGGAGGTTGCTTTGCCAGATGTTGAAAAACGAGTCTTCCAATGTTCTTGTAGGACTGAAAGTGAAGGGTGAATTTGAGGTGAGAAGGCGGGCTCGCGTCACAATGCATGGCGCAGGCTGAGGGCGGCATAGGCGATTGGCTCCAGGTGGAGGGACTGCCTACAACCATGTCGACTCTCGAGGAATGGATAGAGTGCGCCTTTGACTCAGGCTACGGTCTGGCCCTGATTCGGGCTGGTCATTCAGGTGGTACTTTGGTATACTCGAGGTCGGGTTTTTTCTGCACTTCTGAGCGCTGCAGCGATGTTTGTCAGTGATGATGATACCTGAGATATTACATCCAGTTGAAGTGCTCGAATTTGTTGACAGGAAACAGGTCGCATATGATGCACGCGATAGTATAGGGTCCTCATCGAATCTCAACATCAGTACCATGAATCGCTGGGCAAAAGGTACCTATGCATCACTTGTCTAAATCAGTAGTTCGCTGTTGTCGAAGAACAAGGAAATGGGAGCGCGGCGAGCCTGGCATGTTTCGTAGCGTGGCTGAGTAAGCCCACCCGGGCAGGTCCCGATTCCGATAGAGCCTCGGCGGGCGCGTCAATCCTATCCCCTCAATGTAAGCTCTCTAGAACACTACCTGGCCCTTTCGCAGTACCACGAACTCTACGAGCGCGCCGAGCAACTCAACATGTCGAAGCGCCTCATGTTGGTGCCTAGTCTGAAGATGCCGAAGAAGATACGCGTCATGATTGCTGGACCCTGAGCCCATAAGGTTTGATAGCTACGTCAACGCACCCGAAGTCAACCCGCAGCTATGCCCAGATGTATATTACACCCCTCACCAACTCAGTATCACGCCCGCAGTTTCCGTCTTGCTCTCACGTAGTCAATTGAACGATATCTCGAACCCCCCATCCCCAAAGCAATTCAGAAACCGCCACAATGTCTTCCAACTCGCTCAACTACCCGCTCCTCGCTATCCCAGCCTACTACGTCTTCTCTCTCGTCCCGCACATATATGCCGCTAGCCTCCTCACAGCAAACGGCTACAAGATCAACAACGCGAACCCCAAGGCATCGTTGTCACCAGAAGCCGTGAAGGGCAAGGTGCCCGATGCTGTGTAAGGCGTCCCCACTCTCCCCACCTCAAGTCCCTTGCTAGTACGGTACTAACATGTTCACAGCTTCAAAAAGTACCAACGCGCCGAGAACGCACAGTCGAACAATATGGAACAAATGCCCCTCTTCGCCGCCGCCGTTATCGCCAGCATCATCGCCGAACGCACCACCGCAACAGGCATAGGACGAGAGGTCATCTCAGGCGATGCAACAGGCTTGACAACATTTGTCACAGCTTGGTTCGTAGTCAGGGCAGCGTACTCTTTGGCATATGTACAAATCGCGACTTACTCGAAGAGCATGATCAGGAGCGGCCTTTGGTCTATCGGTAGCGGGCTAGCGATATACCAGATCTACAAGGCTGCCGCGATCTTAGGCTAGAGATCATGGACAATGAAGCGGTATGGTGAGGACGACAAATACGCCAAAAATAACATGGAACAAGAAATCGAGTGTTAGGACTATCCTTTAGAATTGATGTGCAATGAGATCAGTTATTACTCACTTCAGGTGTGTCGGCATCTAGGGACTCCCGAATTCACAATATCAGCGATCGACACTTGCCGGTGTACCTCGCGACGCCGTCCCAGAACGAACAAAATCCAGGCACGAACCCGCACAACGGTAACACGAATGCATCACGCGTGCTGGCGCAGTCACACTAGGATTGGCCTAGAACTCACGACGAAGTTTATCGAATGTATGAGTAACGCAATAATTCTGCAGGAGACTTTTGCAATTAGCCAACGGCCAAACTACCCTGCAGCTGTATATATATGTGCCATTAACTTTGACACCTCACGTCCACGACGCGATAACCCATCTTTACTGCATTCGCACACTCCGTTCTGTAGACATACTAGCCCACCTTCGATTACAGCATGGTTCATCTTACACCAGGGCTATCACTTCGCATCCACGGCTTGGCACTTGCAAGCCTTTTGAGCTGTGTTGCGACGCAATCATCTTCGGCTTCTTTCCTCTACCCAGAGTTCGCTTCGTCTGTCTTGACAATCAACGCCCATGATCAACTAAATGTCAAATGGACGTCCAATTTCGATCAGGCCTTCTTACATATGTGGTGCGACGACGACAGTGGGACTGGCGAACAGGCGCTATGTGTGTCCTCACTCTCTTGCATACCCTCGGTTACTATCCGCAATAGCTAACGTACCATGGGACGTGAAAGGGTTATCAACTGAAGTCGACACTATCGGCAGCATGAGATACTCGCCATCGGCCGAAAATCTTACGAGTCGTAACTGGGACACACCCGTCGCATGCCACTTCGACATCCTGCCTTTCGTAAACGACACGAATGAGCAGGAAGGCCCATTCCTCACAATTAAGTCAGCCAGCGATAGCGCTCCAACTCTTTACGATCAATCGTTCACATCTCTCCTGGCTCCTACGGCCAGTACGGTGACGGTGACCCCCATACCATTCTCTTCGGCCACGACTTCGTCGCGAGTATCTAGCGTACCAACGGCATACGATCAACCGTCTATATCGCTACCCGTATCTACTACTAGTCTGATGGCGACGACCTCCATATCGGTCTCTTCGTCCACTAATTGGTCGCCTGTATCCAGCGTAATAACGGAGAGGAACAACAAGACACTCTCGGGTGGTGCAATAACAGGGGTAGCATTGGGTGCAGCGCTCGCAGTGGTGGCATTGGTAACAGTAGGATGGTTCTTCTGTCGGTACCATCGGAGGATAAAGGCGTTAGAGACGAGAATGTCTGGAGCTGGCGGCCCAATGGGACATCCATCGCAGAGATCGATACCTATACTACCTACGGAGAAGCGTGACAGGCCACAGGCTGAGTTGTCCGAATTGGTGGCATAGAATGCGGGAACCGATGTTTCATTGTTAAGAGTCGGACTGGCCGAATATCAAGCTTTATCAGCGTTACCTCCCCACGCTCCATGTTCGCCCTCCGCCTTTGGCTTCCCGATCCTCTCTAGCTGCGCCTTCATGCCCGTACTCGTCGCCATAGTCCTCATGCTCTCATCACAGTACTCTACACCGTCTCGAAAGTAGAAGTTCTTGCCAAAAAGCTCCACAGTCAGACCCCAGTTATCCTTGCCCGCCACCTTCCTTCCGTTAGCGTCCTCGATGTCTCCTCCATCCACCACCTTCACCACGGCGTTAACGACTGTCTCCATGGGTGTCATGAAGCTCTCTGGGAGGGACCCCCATTCCTCTTCACTCAACAGGCCGGTGCGAACGATGCTTGGGCAGACCGTGAACGTCCTAATGCCAGCGTGGTGGTATGCTACTGTGATAGCACGGTTAAAGTGGATTACTCCCGCTTTAGCACCAGAGTACATGGGGCCGAACTCGGCTGGATAGAGTCCACCACAGCTCGCAGTCATGACTAGGGCTGCGTCATTGTTCTCTCTGCCATGCTTGACCTGGGATTTCCGGAAGTAGTGGAACGCAAGCCATGAGGTGTTTATCACTGCCGTGTAATTGACATCGACTACGAGGCCGTTAGGTGGCGGAGGCGGCGCGTCGAGAGCATGTTCTTCGTAGAAATCTAGGTGTTGGTGATCAAGTCAGTTGGTGTCTGATTTGCCATACCCATAAGATTGCTACGCACTGTCTTTTTCGGCGATACCAGCGTTCGCGAAGACGAAGTCGAGACGACCTGACTTTGACCATGCTGATTCGAAAGCTGCTACCAGCGAGGCGTACTCGGCTACATTCGCCTGGTGAGCGTGCCCATTCTTGAGCAAGGACGTGGCTTTCGTGAGATTATCAGCGCTGAGGTCGACAAGATGCAGGTCCCACTCTTCATGAGTACGAGCTGCGAGGGCTTCCGCCACAGCGAGTCCCATTCCACTAGCCCCGCCAGTAATCAAAGCCACTTTCTTGACCATGTTGGGATTGTTGAGTCGATTAGATGAGTGATTCTTTTAGAGAGTGAGGAGGTGCCAAGGGCGACAGTATGATAGTAAACAGCCAGCGTGTGATTGTTGAAGATTGGATGGTTTGGGGTGCAAGAAGGAAGTCGTTGGAATTTATAGATTATGCGTATGAGGGCGACCGAGCGCGCTTGAAGAACTAGAAGGGCTGAAACTGATAGTACTAAGGTTGCGATATCCCTGCTCTGCATCAACATTCCACCGTAATAAGGTTGCGAAATGTGCGATGAAGGTCCCTTCTGCGAGCACGTGATGCCAAGATACACGCTAGAGCCACTCCGTGTGCATCGGCGTGAAGTGGCCGACGTCATTCTGACTCATTCTCACTCATTCAGCGCCGGCTTTACAATCGGCCGGTGGCTGGAGCGCATCCTCGCGTAGGAGGTCTAATGCGCGAACGCGCTGCGAAATGGTAGCTAATGCGGCGTCAAGGCTGCGCATCAGGCGTCGTCGAGCGCCGGCTTTGTCGGACTAGACGATGCAGCGAGAAAAGGCGCCTTTTCATATTTAGACCAATATCCCGGCCAAGTCTGTTAGAATAAGCCCTTTCTTGACGAACTTAGGCCCGTACTTGGACTTCAGCAGGTGAACCCGACGTTGGTTGGGGAGGTCAAGAGGCAGACTGTCCCTCATGTTGTCCTGTGCAGACTTCTTTTCCACCCAACCGTGCTGGTAGTTATGCCGTATCTCCTCC